GCTTTTTCATAGCTTGGTAATACAAAACTAAAATTTGTGTTAACATTTCAACATCTTGGGACCGTCTGGAATCTAAGAAATAACAGCGAGCACCTCTGCAAACTCAGCTACAGCTAAAGGTATGTAAACGTACATTTCTTACAATCATTCAAACAAATTTAATTTCAAATTGAAAACACATTTCTTCCAAAATAACTTAAAATCGCACACACGGAAGAACCAAAAATATTGAAAAATCATGATACTTTTTTCTTTCGTCTGTCGATTTCAGAACTGGTTCGGAACTATAGAATTTAGGACTAGTTCGGAACTATCGAAAAAGGGATGCAGCGGGGGGCAATTGACACTTCCTAGGACATCGCCATGTTAAATTCGCCAGTTGCTTGCATGCAAAAGAGATTTATCGCGAACCAGTACTGGGTCTAAATGTACTAGAAGCGCCCCAGTTCAGAACTAGAGATTTTCCCCACAGGGTAGATCTGGTAAGCGTGAGCAATGTGCATAGATGTCATCCCTTGAATATCATACTATGTAATTTCATCTTCCACCAAGAGCCTGCAAACACAAGCTTTGAGGAAAAACTTTTTTTTTGATGCGCTTCTACACAATATATTATGTAGTATGTATGTATGTACATAAACATATTTCAAGGCGCTTAAATAAGAAATGCGTACACAAACAAAGAAGAGGATAGAAATTAAGAAGAATAAAAAGAAAATATTTTCATCATACAAAGGCCTACTTTTTTTGCTCGAGCATATGTGTAAATATGTTTAGGAATACGGTCAATCAACCATGTGAAAGGAAGAAGGTCATAGAAAATGAAGAATAGAAAAAAAGGTGCGAAAATTAAGTTCGAGCTACTTATTCCAATGAATAATGTATTCCATTATATTTTTTAGCGACTTTATTCAAAGTACTGTCAAATATTGAAATATATGTAGCGCTGCTTTGAATATATGTAGCGCTGCGGGTTCTGGATATCCTAATTGAGACTTCTCATTTCGAACGTGTGGCGGCCTTACGACCAACCCATGCACTACTTGCATCCTTGAGTGTCGTAGCACCCAAGACCAGTTTTCATTCTCTGGAACCGCTCTTTAGCTGACGTAAACCTATGCCTCTTACTGGCTGCAGCGCCAGGAGAAGTGCCAATGACCGTAGAGGAGATACAACTTGCCTCTGCTTTTGCCGTTACCCTCCATCTCCTTTTCCTCTTATTCTAAGTCAATGAATTCCGACCCTCACTTCGGACATTCTTTGCAAGCAATTGGTCCGCTACATACCTCAAATACTAATGGATTGCTTAAACCATACAACTCTAGAACAAGATGCGCTTGTGGTCGTTGACTGCCATGCAGGTGCCGTAGGATCCTAAAAATGGATTTCTGTAGGTGTGGGTGACTACTGAATGATTTTTTTCATTCTCCGACGATTTAATTGTATGTTTGGTGCCAAACGCTTCCCAGCCAGAGACTTACTTATGTCTTTCGGGTCACTCGTACGATGTATTTCTGTTGTTTTTCATAACAGGCTTGACATACGAGTATTCTAACTAATAAAAATCATGTGCAAAATGGTAAATTTCTAATACTCATGTCAACTTCGAGAAAGCTCCCCTCCCCTTAAGCTATTGGGAGTTTACACCGAGACCACTTAATCCCATTTTTAGCCAGCAATAAATGCCAAACATTAACCCTTTTCGAAATTTTCTAAGTTCTTGCATGAACTTAAGTACTGAATAGTCTCTCAAACTCAAGCATTTCCAAAGGTGGGTGTAGGAGCAGTTTTACAACTCGCATGTAAAGTAACTTTCTAAAGCAGTTTTAGTTTCCGAAAATACAATTTTTCTGATACTACTTTTTGTCTGTGTGTTTGCAAAAATGCAAATTTTATTGCATATTCCGGTAGAAAACCAATCCATTGTTTGAGAAAATGTTTGCGTAAGGCGATAAAACCATAGAAAGTTAACAAAATTAAGAATTTATATTGTCGGCTTCGACGGATTATTCTCTTGTTAACAACATTTGTTTCTCAACTTTTTTTAATCGAAGAAAGGCGTGGCAATGTTGGGACCAGAGCTACAAAATTTATATTTTATTGTGAATTTCGGCAGAATATTTATTTCTTAACAACGTTTGTTCCATAACTTTCTTGTTCGGAGAAAAAAGTTTTATTTTGAAGTTATTGCAAATGAGTATTCAAAATTTTTTTTTTTATTAAATGGTAGCTTTCGCGCTTTACTGCGCATTCGCATTTTATTAGGTGTTCAAAACATGTTCTTAGTAAGTTTTCCGGACCAAGTTTTTTACATAAACTTCAATCCCCGACTAACTTGATGTATAAAAAATTGTACCATAAAAGCATTTTTAAGACCGGCAATACGTTCGAAAGTGCGCTAAAACCAAAATTTGTTTGTATGGAGATTTTTATTTTGCCAAATATTAGGGATGAAATGATACCATTAATTTAAAAGAAGTTTCGTAAGAAAACATCGATACCCGAAAAATATCGGTTCTAAAGTATCGACACCTATCCGTATCGGTTCTTTTGGCTATGGTATTCCGTATGAACTGGAATACATTTATTTTTTTTTTAAGAAATAAATTAATTATCCTCGGCGAATCCTAAACTCCGAACAATAAAAATTAATAATTTAGGAACTGAAAATAAATAAAACAACATAACATAGCGAAACCATATGTTTAATGATGAATAGTATTTAAGAGAGATAATACCTTGGAAAAATTTACAAGAAGTTAATCTCGCTTAACCTTCTTAGAACCGCGAGTTGGATTTTATATGGTGAATTCTTAGAAAGCTTAAATTTCCATACGAAATTTCTGGGATGGGCTACGATCAACATTTTAGTTTTTTTCAAAGATAACAATTTTTTTTGTCATCCACGCTTTGCTGACTTTTCTTTTCTCCTTTGCTTCTTTTTTCTTTTTTTTTCAATAACAGAGCTAGTCTCCACCACCTAGTCCGATAATGTTTTCAGCGCGAAAAATAATAGTTACTCTGTACGCTAGAGCGTGTATACGCTGCAGTGTTCTATTTTAGAAAAAAAACGACAAAATCAAACAAGAAGAGATAGCAAAATAAATGTAACGGTGTTTCAAAGCTTTTGAGATGGGGAATCCAGGAAAAATAGTCTCGTTTGGTGGAATAATTGCCTTGACCTTTGAAATGCCATTCAAAAATATATGGTTTAATTTTTTTCCTTTTTTGGCGTGAAACCAGTATGCAAGGAAATTTTTAAAAACTTTTAAACCCATATTTTTGCTGTTTGTACATCAAGGAATCCATTTCCTTTGTCGCAAGAATCGAAAAAGCATTTAATTTTAAATTGTTTTCAAAAAGTTCATCACAAGACCAAAAAAAATCTAAGACCGACCTTCAAAAGGAAAATCTTTGTATTTTTATTCTTGGGACTTAGGAGCAGCAGCGTACAATGGACTTAAAAAAAAAAAAATATTTTAAATGGATTTTTTGGTTTTCACGACCATGGAAATGGATTCCCTGATGCAAGAACAGAAAAAATATCTGTTAAAAAAAAATCTCTCTGCATACTGGTTTCAGCAAAAAATATTAAGATCTTCATTTTTTGAAGGTCGCTCCCGTTTAAACAGCCATAAAGCTTTGGGCGATTCATATTAGTGGAGAAAAAATTCTGAAAGAAAGTACATGCGCAATCAGCTGCAGCGTGATCTATTTCGGGACACATGAAGGGAGCTGAAGTGGATAACGAGACATATTTTTCGTAACAAAAACAGAGAAGTCTTTGGAGAGTGCTAATAGCTTGGAATAATGGGCGATAAGAAAAACGCCCGTAAAATTTACCAGAAAGTTAGGCGACTCACGGAAGATTTCAAGGTTTATTGGTAAAGATTTTACAGAAATCACTGACTAATTTTATAACGGGTGATTTTTTAAGAGCTTGATACCTTTTTTTTTAAAAAAAACGCATAAAATTTGCAAAATCTCATCGGTTCTTTATTTGAAACGTTAGATTGGTCCATGACATTTACTTTTTGAAGATAATTTCATTTAAATGTTGACCGCGGCTGCGTCTTAGGTGGTCCATTCGGAAAGTCCAATTTTGGGCAACTTTTTCGAGCATTTCGGCCGGAATAGCCCGAATTTCTTCGGAAATGTTGTCTTCCAAAGCTGGAATAGTTGCTGGCTTATTTCTGTAGACTTTAGACTTGACGTAGCCCCACAAAAAATAGTCTAAAGGCGTCAAATCGCATGATCTTGGTGGCCAACTTACCGGTCCATTTCTTGAGATGAATTGTTCTCCGAAGTTTTCCCTCAAAATGGCCATAGAATCGCGAGCTGTGTGGCATGTAGCGCCATCTTGTTGAAACCACATGTCAACCAAGTTCAGTTCTTCCATTTTTGGCAACAAAAAGTTTGTTAGCATCGAACGATAGCGATCGCCATTCACCGTAACGTTGCGTCCAACAGCATCTTTGAAAAAATACGGTCCAATGATTCCACCAGCGTACAAACCACACCAAACAGTGCATTTTTCGGGATGCATGGGCAGTTCTTGAACGGCTTCTGGTTGCTCTTCACTCCAAATGCGGCAATTTTGCTTATTTACGAAGCCATTCAACCAGAAATGAGCCTCATCGCTGAACAAAATTTGTCGATAAAAAAGCGGATTTTCTGCCAACTTTTTTTTTGGTAATAAAATTCAATGATTTGCAAGCGTTGCTCGTTAGTAAGTCTATTCATGATGAAATGTCAAGGCATACTGAGCATCTTTCTCTTTGACACCATGTCTGAAATCCCACGTGATCTGTCAAATACTAATGCATGAAAATCCTAACCTCAAAAAAATCACCCGTTATTTTAAGAAAAATTAACTTTTTATTTAACCCATTTAACCAATTAAAATATACTTTTTCACTTAATTTTATAAACATATACATAAATGTGCATACCAAAAATAATTGATGAGCACTTAAAGTCATGCAAAAACTTTCACTCACCTGTAAACTTGTCAATTGCAATAATTTGCTCGTCCGAACTGCTCCAAACTGACGACAATGTTAGCGGTGAATCGAAGCAAATGATATCGCCCACAGAGAAAATTGTCTATACTCACGAGCGCGATGAAAAGCAGAAAAAGGTGCCAACAACAGTAGCAAATAACGTTATATAGTCGATGATATTGTACGTGCGCGCAGCATAACAACAACAGATTTTGTAGTGGCGACAGCAATCAACAACAGCCACAACAGTAGCAGCATCCGCAGCAAAATCAGCATAGGCATCAGTAACACAGTTGGCCGATGCATGAAAATGCGCATTTGAGCGTGATTGGGAGCATGAAAGGCAGCAGACGGGGTTGATATGTTGTTGACATTTATGTTGATTCAGTTGGCGGTTATAGTAACGACGCAAATTTGAAGTTGGCAGTTGCATGGAGTATTTTTGAGCGTAAAGAGATGAAAGTAAAGTTAAAACAAATTTTTATTAAGACTTAAATCAATAAGGAGTTGCAAAAAATTAAAAACAAATACATGTGTGTTTACATAAAGACTATGTTTGGGATAATTGTCCATCACTAAATACAAAAAATCTCGAAAACTAATAGACCGATTTTAGAAATCACTCAAATTTAACTGCTTTTTTCAAATTTCTGATATACAGGATCAATCGCGCTAGAAATCTTGTGAGAAAGTCGGTACCTTGTATTTTGGAACGAGTTTCCGTAAAATTTGGTTTGGAGACAAACCAGGATACATTCCGAAAAGCTGAACACAACTTTTTTCAAAAATCTTTAGCTTTCTTTGGTACTTTATTTGTTGAAGCACATCGTTCTCTGGGTACCATTCGAGATCCAATTTGCTGATGGCAAGAGGCTAATGGCAAGAGGCTAGGTCAGGAAAGTAGCAACTCAATGCTGTCTTAGGAAAGACTTTTAATCTTTTTTGCAAACGTTCTTCAAAATATATTTGTGAGTTTATTGGTCGCGTAGTTACAAAAGACCTGCTTTTTTCGACACAGCTGCATATTGTCTCCGAACCAGGAATTTACGAGAAAATTTTGACTACCTTTTTGACTTAAACTTTTCGTCCACATTCCTCTGCGAGTAAAACTCGTAGCCTGGAAGCTGCGAAAAGTCGCGTAAATTATCCATGATGCAGTCGTCGAGTTTTTCAAAGAACTTTGTTTTTAGATTTTTGGCACATTGTTTTGCCTCTGTGTCCGAAGAGGACCGTCTCCGCAGCCACAAAGAGCGCGGAAACGCGTTTTTTTCCTTGTCTTGCTGCGAAGACAACAGAACTGCGTTGTCGAGAATATCCGCAAACTCAAGGAGGGAACTGAGAGAGTTGACCCAGCCTCATAGATGAGAAAAATGGTTAGAATCGTATCCAGGGCAGAAATCGGACGTAGGAGAATCATGAAGACCCATTTCCCCAGAGGCAAAAACCATAGATATATATATAGATAGATATATGGATATAATAACAGCACCACCACACCATCACATAAGCGAGGGCTTAAACCAACATCGAAGGATATGCGAACCTTTGCCAAGACATCCAAAGCTAGTCGCCTCCAGTTGGGGCGGACCGGCGGATAAACAGCGCTCTGTGGACGACAATCGTCAGTTGAACTCCGTAACACCAAGTCTAGGAAGCTTAGAATTAGACTGGAGGTTTCTTAATGCGCCCTACTCTCCCCGAAAAGGAGCTCACATAATGCAGTATCACTTCCGCAACAAAATTCTGCTGGTGGAGATGATAGAACACAACATCTTGTTATCGAAGCAGTTCCTCATGGGATGTTACCGTGGGAAGCACCACAACAACGCTTTGCTTCAAAATAATCCGGCCCCGACACGGGTACGGCACCTGCACGATACCAAACTTCGCTCAACAACATTCAGAACGATGTGGTCAGCACGAACCTTACGAGCCGCCCATTATTATTGAGGAAACAGAACTGCCGGGGAAAACCAGGGCACAGCTCATAAGTGCCTAGCAGGACTCAGCCCAACGGAGTGGCCTGCCTTCTCGGTATTCGCTTCGCTGATTTAGAGGATGAACCGGAACCCACTTCAATAGACCGCGGGTGAGTTGAACAGTTGAACACCGCTGCTATAACAACAATAACAGCGAACCTTGCAGACGACCTCAAGAAAGGACCACTAATAGACTTCAAAAATGATACATTTCCAAAAATAAGCAACTAGTTTTCTGAAAAAGTTATGATTGGTCTAGGAGAGCATTTGCAACAAAAAATTAAAGTTGGAAGACCCGTATTAGACAAACTGATATTTACCCATTGATTTAAAGTTTTATACTCGAAGTGTAAATCGAAAAATGTATCGATATGCATATTTTTACAAATCGATAAATTGCCGTGTTCGTCGTGGTTTTATAAATATAATAATAATAGATTGGCTGTATGGAATATACTGGTATTTAGCTTGGCCGAGCTTCTCCTCTGACTTGTGCTTTAGGTCGTATATACTGTTAATGTTATGTTATTGTTGTTGTAGCGGCTACAACAACCGCGCCCAGATCGGCTGGTATCTAAGTCGTTGTCGTCAAGCTCAACTAACGGAAGACCCAAGAAGCGTTCAGTCTCTATAGGGTATGTCCAAAGGGACAGAGGCGTTAGTTGTGTGGAATTTTCCGTGCATACGAAGAGATGTTTCGAGTCGTGGAGTGACTCTCCGCATGCCAGACACTCATTTGGCACAACTGCATCTAATCTGCTCAGGTATGAGTTCAACCTGCTGCAGTAGCCAGAGTGAATTTGGGCTATTGTGGTCCATTAAATTCACAAAAGCCTTATAAACCTCGTAAAGCTCGTAAATTTACGAGCCTCGTAACAAGACATTTGACTAATTTTCTTTTGTTGGTTTAATGATCATAAATTTTTTATAAAAGTATAGCTCGTTATATAATGGCAACCAAATAAATCCAAATTTAAAACTTTACTTCAAAGTATAAAATTGTTTAATCAGAACTAAAAAAAATCGAAGTATGCAGTTTTATATGACTCATTCAATTTTAGTGTAATGTTGTTAAATGCAAGTTTGAATTATTTTAAAACTCGCATCAATTTTTAGATTTTTTTTACTGGCGTTGTTAAGTTTTTTGTTCCATATTAAAACATTTCAATCATTCTTTATAGGGAGAAATTACAACTCACGTAGGTGCCATCAAAGAAAAAACAATTTTGCAGTTTTACCTTACGAATTTCATTTTTAGACAAAGATGTGTATTACAAAACATGAAAAAAAGTGCTGTAAGTGGCTTTTCATTTTGACCCGAACCATTTTCTGGGGTGGTTTTCGGTTCGCTTTTGGCATTTTCAAATAAAAAGGGATCGGTTCGAAGCCCGAAAAAAGCGACGGTTCAATTCAAAAACCGGTTCAGTTCAAAACCGGTTTGCAGCCCTGGTTATTAGGCTCTTATTTATCCAAATTTTCAGGTAATAAAAAAATATATTCAATTTAGATGTTACTTGTTATCGTAGTCATTCTTTTAACTTATGGCTTACTATTATAAAATCACATAACGCTGTTTGCAAGTGGACTACTCATAAATGTAAGTTTATCAATAAACATATCGTTGCCTTAATATAGAAAGGCCCTATCTGACATCGTCGCTGATTTACAAAAAGTCGTAACTAACTAAAAATCGAAAATTTACGTTTTAATTGATTATGATGCATTTGATCGAATTATGTGGCCTCACATCGTTTTATGCAATAAAAGATTTTAGTTAGTTACGGCTTTGTGCATTTCAGCGACGATGTGAGATAGGGCCTTTCTATATTAAGGCAACGATATGAGCATATCGAACCCTAACCGCCAAAATAACGTAAGCGAGATTTTTTACCATATTATCTTTTTGGTGCAGAGATGATCTAGGAATATTTCTGCATCAAAAAGAAAATTAGAAAAAAAATGTCGCTTACGTTATTTTGGCGGTTAAGGCTCGATATGTATATCGATAAAAATCAATTAATTGTACGCCAAATTTTATTTCTAATCAGCGAATTCCGTTCGGTTGGGGAAATTAGGTATTGCACCCAAACCTCGCTTCCTCCCTACATCTTAGTCAAGATTTTCTACGTTTGTTTGAGTACTTTTATTGGCATGGGATATGCCACTTAAATTGAGCAAGTATCCGCCTAAATTTAGAAAAAAATCTCTTAAATTAGCACAACTCACCTTAGTCGGGAAGGTGTTTGGCGATTCTGCCACTGACAGCTTGATGTAATCCTCAGCGTATTTAACTCCAGTCGTATCTCTTAAGCTGATGGCAATCATGTTGTTTGCTTCACGCGGCAGATTTATCTATGTAAAGAGAGAAAGTATAGAAAATAACATAAATAAAATACGAAATACAAAGAAAAAAAGTACTACTAAAAATGCCATATAACTTATAGTTATGAGAAAATGCATAAACTTTAAACTTTTTTAGAATGAAACATGAAAAAACAGCAAAGGAAATGCATGAAAAAGTTTAGGTAAAAATGTTCGGCACTAAAAAATGAGAAAAAGTTCTAGAGTGCGATGCAGTAACACGCTTAACCAGCACATGCGGCTGCACGGAAGACCGAGAAGAGCTTAAAAAAGGGAATGAAAAAAAATAAACAACTATGAAGCTATTTTCTAGACTGTGTTATGGCACTGTTGCAAAGTGAGCAGGGTCACACGCACAGACACCGAGTAGCATGCATACAAAGTACTGATGCATACTGCACTCTTAATATGGCTTCAAACTTTGTAAATATTCCGGCAGTAGGACAAAACGTAGTGTGTTTTTTTTTTATTTTATAGTTTAACTTGATGCTGTAAAGAGAGCAAACAGCCAAACGTGCACCTATGAAGAACCTAGATACATTTATTAAGCTAATAAATAAGTAGTCTTTTTTTGAATATGAATCTTTTTTGCATTGAGTAGATCTATCAAATGCATGCGTTCTTAAAACAATTGCCTCCATTCGTCCTTCTACAAATTTAATGCCAGTTGGAAACCATTTTCATAAATGACCAACCTGAAAACTGCTAAAAGAGCTAGAAGACAAAGCATTCAATAACTTCATCAGAAAAGCAGAGTAAAATTTACATAGAGAAAATTAAGAGAAAAAATTATTGAACGCAAAACTAGTAAAAACTTGAAACTTGCGCCATTTTGACACTTTTTGGTGGTTAAGTTTTGGCGCGTAATTTTCCTTTTCGTTGGGAGTATTTTCCATCGTTATTGAAGCAATTAAATTTAAATTACTCATCGAAATTTTTATCACACTCATACTGTTTTCAGCCTGTATTCATAAAATCTTCCTCTAAAAGGGCCTACACACGGATCGATTTATCGCCCAACCAGTTGGCCAACCGCTAGGAGTCGGTGGTAAATAAGCCATGCGTAGACAAGTTGGCAAACTTTCGTCAAGTTGTTTGTCAGGTTGGAGAAAAATAAATTTTTTTTTGATTTTCAAGGCAGATCGGTCAACTTGTTACTCTGTGTGTAAACAAGTTGGCAACCTAAAATGCGATTTCATTTTTTAAAAACGCATTAACAATGACATGTGTTTTTCGGTTCGTTTCGCTAATGAAAATGTGTTTAATTTTTGATAACTGGGGCGGTAGCAATAACAAATACATAAACATGATAAGCATTCGTAGCATAGCTTAAAAGTTTACCGGTGCTGTTGTGTTGTTCACAGTTCAAAAACTCTAACTCAAATGAAATCCGCCAACTGGTTGGTGCGTTTGTAGGGAATTTCATTAAGTAGGTTGGTCAACTGGTTGGCCCATAAATCAATGCGTGTGTAGGGCCTTTTAAACCCTTTAAGACATGACTATCGTGATCATCAGTAGAGAAGAAAGGTGGCGCCCTACTCGGTACCGCTATTTTGCTCTCAGAGAATTTGACAGAATCGGTGTTTGTATGACGTCAGTTTTGTGCAACGTTTCTCTTGCAAAATTTCTTTTTTTTCTTACATTCTTGTCCGCGTTTTGGCATTCCTCCCTCGCAGCTGCACCAGTGTGACGTCACGTAAAAATTATTCTCACAATTCCCCTCTGATGGGCGCAATCTTGTATTCTATCATTCTTGACTGATGATTACTTTCAAGAATTTGCAGCTCTCTCGGATTGTTACGCTCTCAAATTCGCCCCCTATTGCAATTATTTTGGGTTATTGAACTCAATTCCAGTAAAAACTAGCAAGTACTGGTAACAATTCATAACATTTTTTGATATTGAACGGACATATTGTAAGCATACAACAGCCCAAAAGGAACTAGACAAAGTCCGAGAAAAGGATTTTGGCATGCTCACTTTTAGAATTTTCAATTTAAGTGTATATGCCTTGCCATAGCCCCCCGTAGTAGTCCAAGGTGTGATGTTTGAGCAGCTTTTTTTTCTGAATCTTAACGCAGCGAGAAATAGACGAAAATATGTGTGTAGCATGAAAGCAAAATATGTGCAGCAGAGTACGGTATGGTCGGTATTGTATAACAGGAAGTGGCAAACTTTGTAAGATTAATATTAAATTTGTCATTATTGCGGGTGGAAAAAGTCGCTTAAATGCACAATTTTTTATATATCGTCACCTAAAATGCAAAAGGCCGTTACAAACATATGCAAGCAGTTGTAACTAATAAAAAATTTGAGGTGACGATATGTGCATAATTGAAAGGCAAAACTTTATAGCGTTTTCTTTTCTCGAAATAATGTTGCATTTATTGTGCCCTACGCCAGGGCTGTAAAGTTATCGTGTTCAGCATTTTGAATTGCATATTGCGTGCTCTTTCCTTAAAATGTTGCACTCTGATAATGTTGCCATATAAGGTGACATTTTTTTTAGAAACGAAAACGCCATTAAACAATAACAGTTTTAATATACGTTTTTCAAGAATATTACGCACCCCAATTGTTAGGTTATTCCCAATTTGCACATCCACAATATCCTTGCGCGACAAATCGTACTTCAGTCCATTTACATCATCAATATTATGTGAAAACTCATTGCCTAAATTATCATGCAGCGAAATTTTCAGTACGAAATTCATGCCACGTGGTATTTTTGCTTCCGTCTGCTTTAGACGCGACGTGGGATATGCTAACGATGTCAAAATATATTGTATATTTTTCACTTCAATGCCAAT